CAAAGGTGCCACAGGACCCTCTGTTGCTTTTTACAGATTCAGACTAACACGGCTACCCCTCTGATACTTGTTCAGGACTGCGGGTTTAGGCTGTTCTTAAGCTGCTTACTTCAAAAAAATCAGTCTCAGTAAAATATGGGTTGTATTGCGTAAGGAAATCTGTAAAAGGAATCCCACCTCTTTTGTGAAAGCTGTAGGTTTCAATTAGGTTCATGTTCAGTCAGCTGATCCCAGCCCTGCAATGAGATCTGCACAGGTTGGTCTCACTCTCATTGCAGGATCTGTACTTTTGGCGAGTATTTGTGGCTGCCCAGAAGTACTATGCTTGTGAACCTGAGATGACTACTCTTTATAAAGTACATTGTGGAAGAGTTTAGGCTCAAATTTGACTGAAAGTTGATGTTTATTGGCTGGAGAGTATCTTCTAGTGTTGCTTATAGCTTTTGTTTGCTGTCCCAGAAGCTGACAATCAGAGGGAGTTACAAGTTAACAGGTTCTGTTCCAAGTGCTGTCATCAAAATGCGGTGTACAATAGATTAAATTAAGAGGCATGTTGATTTTTAAGAAACGCAGGAAGCGTTTCACCACTAGATTGAGCCTAGGTCAGTATTGGCTGAAAGCTGTTTCAGTTTGATGGTGGTTTGCCTTTTGCGACATGACTCATAGATTGAAAACCAGAGGGGACCATCCTGATCATCAAGTCTGACCTCGTGCACATTGCAGGCTACAGAACCTCACCCACCCGCCCCTGTAATAGACTCATAAACTCTGGCTGAGTTACTGAAGTCCTCAAATCATGACTAAAGACTTCAGGTTACAGAGAACCCACCATTTACACTAGTTTAAACCTGCAAGTGAGCTGTACCCCAGGCTGCAGAAGAAGGCGAAAACCCCCCAGGGTCTCTGCCAATCTGACCCATGGGAAAATTCCTTCCCGACCCTAAATATGGCGATCCGTTAGACCCTGAGCATGTAGGTGAGACCCACCAGCCAGACACCTGGGAAAGAATTCTCTGTAGTAACTCAGAGCCTCCCCATCTAGTGTCCCATCATCGGACTTTGGAGATATTTGTTTTTAGCAGTCACAGATCAGCTGTGTGCCATTGTAGGCAGTCTCATCAGATGATCTCCTCCATACACTTATTAAACTAAGGGCATGTCTTCACGTCAGCGCTTTAACGTGGCTGTGTAGTCGCGGCTCTCCCAGCTCTATAGAAAACCCACCTCCACCAGTGAAGTAGCTACCAGTGCTGGTGCAGGACTCTTTTGAATTTCAGATCACCTGGTTAAGTCAGGGTAGTCTCTTGCCATGCTTCTATTTTTCCTATGCAGTGGGATAGTTTGCTCTTGTCCCCTTAACATCTCTTTGAAAAACTGCCAACTCTCTTCAACTGTTTTCCTCCTTAGACTTGCTTCCCATGGGCTTTTACCTACGAACGTCCTGAGTTTGCTAGTCAGCCTTCTTGAAATCCATTATCTTTGTTCTGCTGTTTTCCCTTCTACTATTCCTTAGAATCATGAACTCTGTCATTTCATGATTACTTTCACTTAAGCTGCCTTCCACTTCCAAATTCTCAACCAGTTCCTCCCTATTTGTCAAAATCAAATCTAGAACAGCCTCGCCCCAGTAGCTTTCTCCACCTTCTGAAAGAAAAAATTGACTCCAGTGTATTCCAATAATCTGTGCACTGCTGTATTTTTTACCAGCAGATGTCTGAGCATCAAGTCATGTGCTTTGTTCTTGTGTCCCCATTGGTGCTTAAGTTAACTCCCTGGTATTTATCTCTCTGATGTATTTATGGAGAGCAATCATATCTTTCCTCAGCCTTAGTTTGGATAGGCTAAACAAGCCAAGCTCCTTGAGTCTCCTCTTGTAAGGTAGGTTTTCCATTCCTCTGGTCATCCCAGTAGTCCTTCTCTGCACTTGTTCCAGTTTGAGTTCCTCTCTCGGTCTTCGTGGTATGTATGAGAATAGGAGACAATCCCAGCAGAGCTCTGAGTAAGGGGCCCAACCCTGAGAGTTGGTTCCTTTGTGTCAGCTGTTGCTGTATGTGCTGTATCTGTTCTGCCGATAGATCAAGGATTTGTGTTTCTAGAACTCTCCATCTGTCCTTCTTTTCCCAGTACTAAATTCACACACATTTTTAAATCACACACATTTTTGCTAGATAGAAAATGACAAACTGGTAGACAGAGTTGTATTGTATTGTAAAAAGTTGTAGGCAGCGTTGAGTGAAATTGACACTGGACTACTTATTTGATGGCAGAGATATCTCTGTGCTCCCTCTGCTGTTTGGCAGCCCATGGAAAAGCAGAACAAAAGAACTGTACAGAGTCTGAGTGGTTAGCAGTTGTATCACCAAAGAAGTGACAGTTTTCTTGAGTATTTTGTAACTTAAGTTCTCTAACATCTCCTGCCCTTCTCCCTTTGCATTGGAACTCTTGCAGTGAAATATTCTGGGTACCTGGAATACATGGATAAGCCCTTTGACACAAACTGGTACAGGAGGAATCCTAGGCTCATGAAACTTGGAGAAGGTAAGTCGAGACTGAAGAACTAGTACTGAAGGTACAAGGCTATAAGGACCCTGCCCCTTCTGCAGCCCTCTGGCTGTGGCTGTGTTAATACCTTAAAGCCTGGTAGAGGTTTTGTGCTTTCGTAATGTCATATGTTCTAAGGGTTGGCGTTACTGTTTGTGAGATTACAAGCTACCACTGCGCCTTTGCCTCCTGCTTCCAGGTGTGGGGGAAGGGATGACTGAGAGCTGTTTTCCCCTCCTGGAAATGGGTCCAGAGGGGACAATATAAGCTACCTGTGAGTTGTAGAATTTGGCTGTATTTTGCTTAACACATGAGCCTTGCAGCTTATGCTATATTTTAAACACTCTTTACGTTCCTCTGGAGGCAGAGAACATAAGAACGGCCATATTGGGTCAGACCAAAGGTCCATCTAGCCCAATATTCTGTCTTCTGACAGCAACCAGTGCCAGGTGCCCCAGAGGGAATGAACAGAACAGGTAATCGTCAAGTGATCCATCCCCTGTCGCCCATTCCCAGCTTCTGGCAAACAGAGGCTAGGCCTAGGGACACCATCCCTGCCCATCCTGGCTCATAGCCATTGATGGACCTATCCTCCATGAACTTATCTAGTTCTTTTTTGAACCCTGTTAAAATCTTTTCCTTCGCAACATCTTCTGGCAAGGGGTTCCACAGGTTAACTGTGCTGTGTGTGTGGAAAAAATACTTCCTTTTGTTTGTTTTAAACCTGCTGCCTTTAAATTTCATTTGGTGACCTCTAGTTCTTGTATTATGAGAAGGAGTAAATAACACTTCCTTATTTACTTTCTCCACACCAGTCGTGATTTTATAGACCTCTATCATATCCCCCGTTAGTCGTCTCTTTTCCAAGCTGAAAAGTCCCAGTCTTATTAATTGCTGCTCATACGGAAGCCGTTCCCAACCCCCTAATCATTTTTGTTGACCTTTTCTGAACCTTTTCCAATTCCATTATATCTTTTTTGAGATGGGACGACCACTTTTGCACACAGTATTCAAGATGTGGGTGTACCATGGATTTATATAGAGGCAATATGATATTTTCTGTCTTATTATCTACCCCTTTCGTAATGATTCCCAACATTCTGTTTGTTTTTTTGACTGCCGCTGCACACTGAGCGGATGTTCTCCGAGAACTCTCCACCATGACTCCAAGATCTTTCTTGAGTGGTAACAGCTAATTTAGACCCCATCATTTTATATGTAGAGTTGGGATTATGTTTTCCACTGTGCATTACTTTGCATTTATCAACATTGAGACTGAACACTGGTGTCTGCCAGGCTCCTGGAATATGGGTGGATCATTTTTGTGATCCAGGGTGCATGCTGTACTGCTGGATGTGTATAAAATTACCATTGCTGGTTAGGAATTGGCAGTCCGAAATGCTGAAAATTGGAAAAGCTCAAGCTTGCAAACCAGGTTTTAAGAGATATCGGTCCTTCAGGTTAAGGATTTTGAGGCCCACTTCTTAAAAGTTCCACTTCTTGTTTTGCCAGAGATTACACTTCAGGGCATGGAGGTTGGCCTACTGACCATGAAGAAAGGAGAGTCGGCAAGATTTCTCTTCACACCAAGTTATGCCTATGGGGCATTGGGCTGTCCGCCTTTGATTCCCCCTAATGCCACAGTCTTGTTTGAGATGGAGCTTCTGGACTTTCTAGACTCGGCTGAATGTGACAAATTCTTTGTTTTGACTACCGTGAGTTAGTTACACAAGTAGCTTTGAGCCATACACACCGAATTTTAAGGCTTTGTTCTTTGCTGTCTACCCTGTTATGTATGCCCGTTGCTGCAGTAATAGGATGATGTCCGATACTCTTGTTCAAAATAGCTTCCAGCTAATAGCACCTGTAGTACATTTTTGTGAAGGGGCTTGATGTCCTTGTTCATGCCTCTACCTATGTACTTGTAAAACGACAGCTTGCACCACACTGCACCATATCTCACTCCTTGCCGTGCCCCATGTTCCAGGCCCTGTAGCTTGCAAAGAAAAGAAAGCAGGCAGAGATGCTTAATGTGACTTAAAAAATGCTCTTCCAGGCCAGTGAAGTCAATGGGGCTACATCCGTTTACAACCAGTTGAAGGTTTGGCCCTAAAATCTTCCAGTTTTCCCTCACAGTTGAAACTTCCCTCCTTCCCAGCCTGTGTCGAGAACATTTCAAAGTGTAAATTAAAGAAAATAGATTCTTGGGAGAAGCGTTAAAGCAAACTGAAGCTGTAGTTCTTAAAACTGCTTTGCATGTTTGCAAATAAACATGTTTGCTTATTCGTACCATAACTCAGAGTGTAATCCAGGGGAGAAGCTAGTCAGCGGCGCATTTCTAGTGAGTCCTACAAGAATCTTGGAGTGTAGCTCCCTCTAGTGGAACTGAATTTATGTAGAACAGCTCAAGGCCCACGTCGTACATTCTTATCAATGTTTGTTAGGTTGGGGAGGGTATTTTCTTTGCTCTTTCCCAGCGTCGCTCTTCGGTTGGATGGCTTCCACTCCTAAAGATAGGCCTATTGTTGCTACAGTCCTCCTGTGTCCTTTGTGCAGCTGTTCTTATACCAACGCTGTATGTGTTAGACTTTGAATGTTACTCCCTTGTCTGACCACTTGGAAGTGCAATAGGTACTTGCTACTTGTCTCAGCAGTCCTATTTTGTGTCTACTAATCAGCTGAATTTTGGCTTCTGTACACAGGAGCAGCAGGATACGTTCCCACTACAGCAGGTGCTGAAAGTGGCAAACACAGAGAGGGAGTTTGGCAATTACCTCTTCCGCCAGAAGCGCTTCATGGATGCCAGAGAGAGATACAAGCGGGTAATAAAACCAGGATGACAGGGTTATGCAGTCTATAGAAGATAGTAAGTGACAACTAAGCACTAGCTGGAAGCACAAAGTGGAAAACAGTTTAGAGAACAATTACCCTCTAGCATAATACACCTGGGAAACACAGTTAAGCTAAAGTTTTAAATTCTGTTAGAAGTTGATAATTTAAGGACCGTATGAAGCAGCTGTCTTTGTATGCTCAGCCAAGGTATGTGTTGAACAGCAATGAAAGGAAATACAGGTTGGTACTAGTATGTGAATCGCAGGTCCCAGTTAGTATAGGCAGGAAATGTACAGATGGGTTGGTGTGCTTGGAACACAGCTCAAGTTCTAGAAATGGCTTTGAACATAATTACTTCAATTGCGACCGTCACCTAGCTGGAATCCTCCAGCACAGCTTTCAGCAGAAAGAGGAGAGCCTAGCCCTAGGGCATGGCCTTGGGCAAGGAGGGAGCGCTGAGATAACATTTTCAGAAGTGACTTAGGCTCTCAGAACACCAAGATTTATTAAAAGTCTAATCCCTCTAAATCACTGAAGTGCTTTTGAAAATTTGACTCGTAGTCTCCCAACAAGGAAATGTTACCCCATCACCTGTCGCTGGGAGACTTTATCTTTTTGTTTCTGTGCTCCCACTCCTAGTCTTTAGCTAGGATGTGAGTGTTTGTGTCTTACAGAAATGTTGTTTCTGTTGAGGATACCTTCTCTACCGCCACTTTTGCCTGGGCGGGGATGTACTTAAGTGAAATGTCTGTGGATGGTTTCCTCTTCTACCCACGCTTTTAAAATGTGTGAGATTTTCCTTTCTGCAGTGTATATATTAGAAAAGACAGTAATTCCAAACAACCTCTGTAGCGTTCACAGGGAGCTAGGCACTTCAAAATCAAAACCAGAAACCAGGTCCCTGGTCTAATCTCAGTCAGCAAGGAGCGGAAGAGGTATGCCGGGCCACGACTGCAAATGACTGAGCTGACTGGTCATGTTCAGGGTGCATCGCAAATGCCATTCTATTTTTTGGCTTTTTCTCTGAAACCTGTTTCAAAGGTGGTTAAGTTGATGTGTGTCTCTCTCTAGATCAGTGGTCAGGTAAAGTCCTCAATTTTCCACAGACGTATGCACCATGCATTATTCCTATGGTTTTTTTAATCCCATCTGCCCAGGCCTCTTCGATCCTGTGTCGCAGGCCTTCCAGTGGGGATGAGCAGTGCCAGATTGATGCTGCCAAACTGCTGGTGTTCCTGAATCTGTCATTTACTTACCTGAAGCTGGAGCGTCCTGTCCGAGCTCTGACATATGGAGAAAAGGCGCTGGAGATCGACGAGAGAAATGCCAAAGCGTTATTCAGGTGTGGCCAGGTGAGCAAAAGTAGATTCCTCTGTTGGGTTAAAAAAACCAGTGTCCAGTGGCACCTTAAAGACTAACAGATTTATTTGGACATAAGCTTTTGTGGGTAAAACCCCCCCTTCTTCAGATGCATGGAGTGTCTGTGGGTTAAGAGGTTGCATGAAGCTAAACCCCAGCCTTGCTAGTCTGTGGGGAAGACCTGCAATAGAACAAAATGAGCCGCTCAGAAAATCTGTTAGAAATCCTGGACCAGGCTTTCAGATGTGCTGTGTGTCCGCAGCTACCATAAGAGTTGGTGGGAGTTGTGCTGAATGCTCATGTCTGAAAACCTGGCCCTTTGCAAATACATTGCACAGCTCTGTTTTTTCATGGATTCAGACAGTTGTTTAGGAATTACTTATTTCCAAAACTTGAAACATATACATCTCTACCTCGATATAACGCTGTCCTCGGGAGCCAAAAAATCTTACCGCGTTATAGGTGAAACCGCGTTATATCGAACTTGCTTTGATCCACCAGAGTGCGCAGCCCCGCCCCCCCCCCCCCCGGACGCACTGCTTTACCGTGTTATATCGGGTCGTGTTATGTCGGGGTAGAGGTGTATTCCCATAAAGTAATCCTGAAGAGCTACTGTGAGGAGATATTTATTCTCTAATTCTTGTCCTTCTTTCAATGACAGGCTTGTCTCTCTCTGACAGAATATGAAAAAGCTCGGGATTTCCTTGTCAGAGCTCAAAAAGAACAGCCCTTTAACCACGATATTAACAATGAGCTGAAAAAGCTGGCCAGGTGAGAGAACTCCTTCTCGCTATTGTGAGAGGTAGGGGAGAGATTGCTTAGGTGGACAAAAAAATACACACTTCAATACCTTCCACAAGGCAAATAACTGTCTAGAAATTCTCTCTAGAATGTGTTAAAAGAAAGAGCCAGCAGACTAGCTTTTGTAAAGATTGAATCAGCAAATGGTTGAGCTCTGGAAACACAAGTCTTTACAAAGGGGGGGGGGAATTAGTTTGATTAATTTGCAGATGCAGTACTTCAGAGTGACTCGTGAGTACATGACAGAGATCCACTGTTTCCATACAATTGCTCTGGGGGGGAATATCTCGGTTGCAGCTGCTATACACTTCACTCGAGTGGGTAGGGCAGGCTGATGATGACAGGCTAGGCTGGGAGTGCTGAAATATCTTGACATCAATAAAATATTGTACATTAGAGTTCACTTCGAGAAGGTCCTGTTTCCTTTAAGATGTGTTGGTTGACTTCCCCTGCTTTTCCACTATTGAGGAGGATACTTACCACTTACAGCACTGTCAAAATCTCCCTGCAAATTAGTTAGTGTTTGCAAAGCAAATTTCATGCTGCCTTGGTGATGATAAATCAACAGTCTTGGAGAAATAAACTTTGTTTGCCCCCAGAAGAAGTACAACACAAGCAGTCGCAGCACAATCTTCCCTACCAATGTGCTTGGTCACGTTTTCATGAGACCAACTCTAGTGTCCCCATTGCATTCTGTTCTTGTCATCTTGGGGAAATATCAACAAAGGAACAGAGGGTCCTGTGGCACCTTTAAGACTAACAGATTCAGACTAACACGGCTACCCCTCTGATACTTGATCAACAAAGGAGTTGTTCGTGCCAGTTATGTTGCAAACACTTTTGGGAACTATGCAATGAGGACCTCAGAGCTACAGCGAGGTCACCAACTCACTTTAGGTCGGCATCAGAACAGCTGTTGGGTCGAACTAACCAGTTTCATTCTGGCCAGCCCAGGTCAGCTCCAGGCCAAGTCTGTAATGGCAGAGGTGAAAGCTTACCTCTTCGCTGCCCTGCATATGTCAGGACATTCCACTCTTCAGCTCTCTGGCATGACCACGTCTTGCCTTGGTTGAAGTGCTTGCTTGCAGTGTGAGTATTGCCTGGCCCTTTCGCAATCCTCTAGTTCTTTGCCCTGCCCATGAATTAGACTAGAGAAAATACAGAGCAAAGGAAGTGAAGTGGACTTGGTGTTATGAGAGACCAGGAGCATTATTTCTGTGCCCTTTGAGAGAAGGCAGAAGAAAAGAGAAGTAAAGGGATGGAAAATGATGCCCCCCCTTGAGGCATGGGCTTGAATGTTCCTTTCTCCAGTTGTGGAAAGTTGCATTATGAGTGTGGGTGAAAGGCTCTATTTCTCAGACCTCAGTTTTGTGCTGTTAATCTGTTGGTAAGTTGTAATCAAGTTGTAAGTAGCAACCCGCTGTGCAGAGGGCAGTGGATGTTGATGAGATATTATGAAATATGGTGTTCAGCATCTTAATCTGTCAATTATATATCTCAATCCCAAGGTGCTAAATGCATTACAAACACAGCTAAACAAGCAGAAATTATAAAATGATTCTGGATGACTAGGTGGTTAGCCTATTAGATTCAGGACTAGATTTTGCATCCAGTCTTATAGCTTGTGGACTGATCTGTACTGTAGTAGGATGCCCAAGAAGTAATTGATTCTGGGTAGCTTCATGTAAGATCTTATGTAGAGTTTAGACCGTCTAAGTTTTCGTCAAGACTCTTGATAGATAGATAGATATAGGGTCTAATTCTGACCAATATAAGGTGTGTGTAGCTCTCTTGACTTTTATGGGCTAATCCTAATCTTTTTTCTTAGGTGTGAGCTGAGCAAAATAAAACCCATCAGATATAAAATATCTCTAAACCACAGAGAACTAACAAGGTGCTCTAGAGTCCAGGTTGAATTCAGGTTTGTCGTCTTCTCTCCCTTTTGTCTTTGGGTGCTGCAGCATGTGCAACTTAAAAAGCATACACCCTGGAACTTGAGCACAATGGAGGAGCTGGCTAAGGGAATGTCAGTTTGCAGTTTCTGCTTCTGTGGGTTGGTGTCAGAAATTAAAATTAGCATTATCGTCTTTTTTTTTTTCACTTTACTAATCTAAAAAAACCTTAATGTACAATAGAAGAAAACAATGTTTTCAGGCTGAATGTGAGGTAACTGGCTAAATCTGTTTAGCTTTGTCAAATTGGCACACCTCTAGGGCTCCTTGATGTGATCTGGGAAAAACTACAAAAGATGGAGTATAAGTGATCTCTCTCCTGCCATCCATCTCCAACCCTCTGACAAACAGAGGCTAGGGACACCATTCCTTACCTGTTCTGGCTAATAGCCATTAATGGACTTAACCTCCATGAATGTATCTAGTTCTCTTTTAAGGCTAGGACTATAACAGGGTTTCACGACCTCCTCAGGCAAGGAGTTCCCCAGGTTTACTGTGCGCTGTGTGAAGAAGAACTTCCTTTTATTTGTTTTAAACCTGCTGCCCATTAATTTCATTTGGTGGCCCCTAGTTCTTATACTATGGGAACAAGTAAATAACTTTTCCTTATTCACTTTCTCCACATCACTCATGATTTTATTAATCCAAAACAATCCATACCAGCTGAAGGAGACTTTCTGTATTTAGAATCAGAGAATATTAGGGTTGGATGAGACCTCGGGAGGTCATCTAGCTCGACCCCCTGCTCAAAGCAGGACCGACACCAACTAAATCATCCCATCATCTGGTGGAGCTCTGTTCTCCAGCACTTCTTAAAATAATACCTAGCTCTCAAAAGGCTTTCGACTTGCCTATTTAAGTTCTTTTTGAAAAACAACAGAGTATTGGAAGAAGTGAGGTTTTTACCCACGAAAGCTTATGCCCAAATAAATCTGTTAGTCTTTAAGGTGCCACCAGACTCCTTGTTGTTTTTGTAGATAACAGACTAACACGGCTACCCCCTGATACTTAACAGAGTATATTGATTAGTAATAATACCCAGCTCTTTTATAGTTCTTTTAATCAATAGCGCTCATTCAATAACTGGATTTCACTGTATTTAACAGAGTATTGAAAAACCACAGCTAAAACCATAATTCAGCTATGTGTCCGAAGTCAAATTGTGATGGAAAATCCAAGCTTGTTCTCAGTGGGGCTAATGTAGGCAAGATCCCACCAAAGCATGATTTTTTTGGAGCTTACAGAGCCATTAGAAATGCTGCCAAACGCATTTGGTGCTTATGAGCACAGCTTTCGTTAGCTGTGGTAGGTTCCCCATTTTGTTGGGTTGTGATGGCTTTCGTGATGTGAACAAGTGTCATCTAGACTGACTTTTGCTTTCACGTGGACTCTACTTGGATCTCCAAAGGTAAAATGTTTGAACCTTCTATGCCACCTAGATGTATCCTCCCTGTTTTACCTGTCTCCAAAACTGAAAGAATAAGGTTGATTCTTATGGTGAGATTTGTGTCTGGAGGGTAGTGGTGTATTTTACTTGGTGGTAGTAGTTATGGCTCAAAAAAGACTTGGTCTTGGATACCTCCAACTCTGCAACATAATTCTGTTTGTATAGGATCAAAAATCACGTTTTTAGTACAGTTCAAAAGGTAATAAGTCTGTCTGTTGAGCCATTTACACCCCTGATTTTGTCCTGGTATAGCCCTGTTCAGAGCAGTTCTTCCCTCCGTATCGATGTACATATTGGTTTAGCTGTCGAAATAGCCATCCTGTAACAATGTGCCCGATTTTGCAGCTGTTACAGGGACTACATGGATAAGGAGAAGGAAATGTGCTGCCGAATGTTTGCTCCTCTCAGCTTTTCTCCTGTGGAACCAGAAATAAAGGTAACAAACAAACAGTCAAGAGGAGCATGTGGGTTGAAACAGGCTTGTTTCTTTTCAGATCTTCATGTCTTGCCTGGGCTTGTATTCACTGGCAACCACAAAACTGCTGAACATAATTTCTCTCCTCTGCCTGAAAGCTGCAGAGGAAGAACCTAACATAGGAGTGTTTGTAGTGGAGTGTGGCAGTAAGGTATTGTCCAACCCTAACTTCTGGACCTGTAAAATGTTGTCTACGCTTTGTAGGATGACCATATCTCCCTGTGCTGAATACAGGACACCTGGTAAAATTACTCGTATTCAAGCGAGTTCAACGGCAATCAGTCCGAACTAGGCAGTACAAACGTTGAAATTAACATCAAGTTGACTGAGCCCCTGTTGAAAAGAAATACTGCCTAGCTGGATTCTTTTTATTTCCCTTCTTATCTTTAGGGCTTTAGGGTTCACATAGGGAGGGGTGACATCCCCCCTCCCCTCTTCCTCCCCCCATACACACAGGGAGAGGTCACACACACATTCACTCACACACAGATATATATATATATATTCCTGTACACCTCTCTCACATGGAGGGGGGGTGACCAACCGACCCAGCCCTCCCTGCTCGGTGCTCTCCGCCCTCCATGCCTGACTGGTCCCTGGGACAGACCCACCTCTCCTGGTGCCTTGTCTTCCCAAGGCAACACGTGGGGTAGGGTGGGGGGAGATGCAGGGTCACATTCCCCCCCCCCCCCCCCCAGATTTCTGCCAGGGTTCACACCAGAATGTGGCGAGCAGCAGCCTTTCAGCTCTGTGCAGGAGGGATGGGAGCTGCTTCCAACCACAGGGGAGGAGGCAGGGGAAGGGATGACCTGGCTTGTGGCTTTGCAGAGCTCATCTCGTCTCCTCCTGTATGGCTGGAAGCAGCTTGTCCCTTCCTGCCCGCACAGTGTCGAAAGGCAGCTAACACCTTCAGGCTGCTGCTGGCCACTGACATAACCCCGGCTACAGTGTGGGCAGGAAGAAGTTAAGCCCTAAAGATGCGTTGTGCACCAGAACCCAGGGAACCTGATTGCAGAGGCTTCAAGGAACCCGGCCAGAGAGGCGGCTCAGTAGGGGAGGGTGCCTAGGGGACGGAGCAGCCCGGCGCTCCCTGCGGGAAGGACCCAGAGTGGGGGAGGAGGGCAAAGAGGGTGCTAAGCCCCTGCCCCGGGGGCTGCTGTAGAGCCTTCAGGTTCAGGGTGTGAACAGGCTGGAAATCGCTTTCTCGCCACTCCCCCCCACTCCAGAGCTTAGCTGAGAAGCCTCCCCGTGCCAGCGCTGTGTGGGGCTTTGGCACATGCAGGGCTTGGCTTCTCCCTGGGCTAGTGCGTATTGTGCTTTCCCGGGGCACCAGCCCAGCCAGGCTGTTGGTGAGCTGAGCACCCCAACCAGGGGCTGGTTCTCCGCACAACGCTGGGAGTGGGACGTGCCCCGCTGGGGGAGATATGAAGGGGCAAAGCAGGGAGAGGACAGCAAGAGTGGGAGCACATAAAGGGCTGATGGGTGGGCAGCAGAGGCGACATGTAACCGGCCACCTGGTGCCTGCCCACACTCACCAGCGACCACAGCTCGCAGCCAGCACCAGCCGGAAATGGGACGAGGGGTGGGGCCCTGCTGGCTGAGAGCTGCGCTAATGGACCAGCCGGGGGAGCAGCCAGCCCTGCACGCTGCATCTTCGTCCCGCCACCAGCCTTTCACACCCACTCTGGACCCCACTCACCGCTGGCGGGCGGGCATCTGACTAGCAGGGATCTGGCCAGCAGCAGGACCCGCCAGTATTGATGGGAGGGGGAGACAGAAAATATGGGACAATTTGCCCATGGTGTGTGGTGTGTGGTTGTTTTTTTTTTTTTTAAAGAAAAAGTCGGGACACTTTCAGGAGGGCTTAAATATGGCACTGTCCCTTTAAAAATGGAACATCTGGTCACTAACGCTTTGAGGAAAGATGTGTTCTCAGAGGAGAGTTATCAGGTGGGCAGTCTAGCAGCAGATCAGTGGGTTAGGAAATCCCTAAATTGGCAACAAGAACACCTTCAGTGACTCATTCTTCCCCTTACAACCCTCCCACCCCCTCTTTCTTCTTGCCTGATCACCACAGCAACGGCAAGTTCCAGAGAAAGCTATGTGTGGCCTGCCTTATAAGAGAAAATCGCTTCAGAGGGTCAATCTGGAGTTCTGCTTCATGGTATTGAGATGGTGGCCCATATGTCTTATCACAGTGGCTGAGGATGCAGGAGTACGTTGGCAGGGACATGGCTTCAGAATATTGGGATTGGCTCTCCCTAGGCTGTGGTGCGTTAATGATACGTGCTTTAGCAAAAGTGAAGTTTGGAAGGCTTTCAGAATTCTGAGATTGGTCTTTTGCTGTATAGGTGAGAAATTCTGCTCTTTGAGTTGGATGTGTATCCCGATTGCAATATTTGAACTGGTGCTAAGAACTTGGAACAGGTTTTTTTTGATACCACTAAATCTTTCCTGTGAGCAAATCCATAAACTTCTTCCAATCATAGGTGCTTCTACTCTAAGGCCACGGAAAGATTGGCCTGCAGGAAATAAAGGGGTATATCAGTCAAATGACTATATGAAGATCATAAAAACAGAAACCTTCATATATGGTCTGATCTTGGCTGAGATACCCTGACCTGCGTATCTCCAAAATGTGGCTGGGGAACTCTGCCAGCCCTATGCTCTCAGCTCAGATACGCTCCAAGGCTGGTAAATAAGGCATGTCTCTAGGGTTTGCATCTGAGGCCATGCAAGAGAGCTACACTCTTAAATCAAAATCCTTCTGAGTGTACATGCTGGAGTACCAGTCCCAGATGGCAACAGGAGATGTACCCATCAAGAGTAACTACCAACTCCCACCTGGAACTGAAGGAGCTTAAGTCAAACTCAACAGTGGAGTCCACTGCACTCAAAAGAACCAGCTCCACCCTTATAAAGCTGTCTGAATCGGCTGGCCAATAATCTCTGCTTCCCAGGAGCAATCATGGCTTACATCCAGACTAGTAGCATCTGACAGTCACACGCTGGGTCTAGTCTGCAGTGAGTAGAGATGTAGCAGTCAGCTTCTTATCCTAATCCATAATCAACTCCAGGTTCAATTGAGAAACTTCTCCAGCCCCGCTCCCAATCCGATCTACTAGCAGCTAAATAAATAGACCTGTCCACAAAGACTGATCGACCTCATAGGCTTCCAAAACTGCGCAGCAGGGAAGTCATCCTCCCTCGGGATCAATGGCCCTGTTCCCTTTCACTGCCCGCACAGGTCACCATGGTTCTATGATCAATTCTGCTGAGGCTGAAGTGTCAGTACGAAGACCCTCTATGCAGGCAGAATGCTGCAGATCTCCTTCTCTGTGACCATAGCATCTGCCAGAGCCCAACCAAAGGAACCGTTCTGACTTGTAGGCCTAATAAACCCAGACTGCCTACTGATAAGCACAGGAGCTCTCCTCTTTTGCTGACAGAACTGTGAGAATCTGATAACCTTTGGGTCCTGAGAGAAACATTGGAGCAGAAAACAGCATTCCACCATCCGCTTTGAGAACTGAGCTTAGTTCCACACGTGGGACTGACAAGTCCATGCCACTGTTGTGGTGGTTAGGGGGCATCTCAGGCCCAGCAAGGAAAAAGATGTTGATAAAAAACCTGGCATGCTTCTATAATATTTAAGCAATTAAGTGTGGTCTGGCGTTTTGTGTCTGCACTGGCATTATTCCCATTGTAATCATCCTAAATCTTCTCAACCCCTTACTAAGCATACACAAAGGAAAACAGTTAAATGCTTTAAAACTTAAAGAAGTAAGGCATTTGTTTTAACTGTTTTCCATATTCACTTTTGCTGTACAGAATCTCTTTGGGGGGGGGGAGTCACTGCTTGATGGTCTCTTTAAATGATTTGATCTGTTCTTTTTTTGGAGGTGGAAGAAAGTTATTTTAAATGTTGCTGTTGAAGTCCAATCCTGTTTCTATTAAGACAAACACAGGGAGAAAGAGAGGTTAACAAAAGATACATTATCTGTCTTCTGTCTCTGCTTATTTTCACTTGCAACCTAGCTGCTGGAGAGAAACATGCTGCTGTTCGCTATTCTGAGATCTGGCAAACTGAACCAACATTGCGCTGTTGGAGGTATTGCTTTCTGGTCACAGGCGCAATGTTGTTGTAGCAGTGTTGCAAAAGGTGGAGTTGTCTTGGCCAGTTAAGCCAGGCTCTTGTTAGACGGGGCAAAAAGAGAGACCTCCTTGTCTTTCCTCGTCTATGGGGAGGGTTTAACAGCAGAACCGTAGGGTCACATTCCAGATGGTCAGGATCTTGACATACAGGTGGGTATGTCATCGGGTTCCCTCTCTGGCTTGCTTTGGTCAGGGCAGTGGAAGCTCGGTGGTTCCCTTGTGGATCCCAGGAGACAGGAGGGGCAGCAGCAGCCATGATTTGGGGACACTTCCTCCTTCCTGTCCTGCTGCCCCCCAGGGTCTTTCCCGGATCTCCAGATACACAGTGCCCAGAAAGGGGAGGCAGCCTCTTCCCATTGTGATTAACCAATCAGAGCGTTTTGATTTCAACCTAACCACCTCCTCCCATTTAGAGAATCTTTCCGATTGTTGTCCTGTCAACCGGTGACTTAACCTGAAGCTTGTCCTTTTAACGTTAACAATCCAGTTTGTACCAGCATTGGTCTCCAGCTTTGGCTTGTTTTTATAAACCGTTTTCTATCACTGGCTAAGCTGCATTTGTTACCTTGGATAGCTCAGAATACAGGCCCCTGCACACCACCCACCGCAGCTTGGCTATGTGCCCCGACTAGCTGTTTGGGAGCACATCTGCCTAGTGCCGAAAGATCGTCACTGTCTCCCTGGGGGCAGTCGAGCACTTGCCTTGAGACATGCTATCGTCTGAGTCTCTTCTAAGGGCTTTCTGCCAACAGTCTTCATTATGAGGCGCGGGTGCGAAGCGGCTTCAGTAGCATGTGACTCTTGCT